TATTATAGAGGTATTAGATATATACCTTATATCTCTATTATATAGTTATATATTTAAATATTACTATAACTATAATAATTAATAGTAATTAAGGTACTAGTAATAAGTTTAATATATTTTATATATAATATAGTAAAATACGCGTTATAGCGTAAAATTAGCTTTTTTTTATGTTTTTGTATAAGCGGGGAAAAAAAGGGGGGGCGGACGCTGTCAACGCAACGGACTGTATATCTGTTGCCAGGCTCTCAAGCAAGCGATTGGCAGGTCAAGCTCAAATCAATTGTTCGCATCACTTCAACCCAACCCCATCGGCAGCTTACACCAGAATCACGGGGCCCCGTGGGAGTACTCACCGCAACACGCACTGACTCTGGAGAAATGGAGCCCGCTAACGGGCCACTGGAGCCATCGGAGTTCGACGTTTACAACCGCTTGTCCAATATGATGCAGACCTTCGTGAGTTCTTTTGTTGGGGAGGCTGGATCTCAGCGATCCCTGGTCTTCAGCGACCTCTCAAGTAATTCTGACGTATTTTCTGTACAGCACAACCACTTTCGTCGAACCTGGAAGCGTCTTCAAGATTCCACAATACCCCCTGTTGACGGCCCGCCAAAAATGACGGATGACCAGATCGTCAGGGAAGGGCTGTTCTTCTGTTACCGTCTGACGAACCACCACAATATCGAAGAGAGGTCTCTATTTCCAATGCTGGCGCAGAAGATGCCTGAATTCAGAGGTGACAATGCAGTTCTGCTGGAACAGCACTGGGGGATACATCATGGTCTCGAAGACTTGCAGCAATATCTAGAAAAATGTCGATCGCGCAAAACCAAGCTGGACCTTGCGATACTGAGGAGCAAAATGGAGCCTTGGGGCCATGTCCTTTTACTGCATCTGGACCTGGAAGTCGAGATGTTGGGCGCGGAGAACATGAGGAAATACTGGACGCGGGAGGAAATGCTGGGAATGCCGTTTTGAGTAATTACCGGCGATTATGTACGGCGTACCACGGTACACACCGAGAGGCGCCGACCAAAACAGGTGCACGGCTCCGACATCGGCAACGTTGACACCGAACCGCCGAGCTGACACGGCCCGGCGAGTCGGAGGTCCGCTCGTTCACGATGATGATGCCATAGAAGTCAGGGTGGCCCGTATCTCGCGACGCCGAATTTCGGAACATCGTATGAACCAACATCGTCAATTCTGCCAGTGCTTACAGCAAGTGCTTACCCCTGGCCCGATAAACAAATACTACGTCTCCGCCACAATCCACCCGATTTAAATTTACCACTCACTTTCGTCCACCACAACACACTCAACATGACTATCAAAGAAGTGACCCCGAAGGTAGTGACCGTCGCCGACGCGTACGAGATCGCCAAGGCGCGTCTGCCAAAGCCAGTATGGGATTACTACACCACCGGCGCCGACGACGAGCATACCCGTGAGCGCAATCAAGCTGTGTACAGAGAGTAAGAATTTCTCCTCGCTCTGTGTCATTCAATTGACTGATCGGTCTTGCAGGCTCCTCCTCCGCCCTCAGACACTCCGAAACGTTTCAAAGATCGACACCTCAACAACGATCTTCGGCAAGCGCTACGACATCCCGATCGCGATCGCGCCGAGCGCATACCAAAGACTCGTCGGCGGCGAAGGCGAGCTCGACGTCGCCCGCGCCGCCTCAAATCTCGGAACCAACCTCACCCTCTCCAGCAACGCTACGACCTCCCTCGAAGATGTCGCGAAAGTTCTCCCCGACCGCGGTCCCGAGTACCCGAAGCCGTGGTTCCAGCTCTACTTCCTCGGCAACCGTGAGCTCACCTCAGGCCTGATCAAGCGTGCCGAAAACGCTGGCTACGAAGCGCTTGTCCTGACCGTCGACACCGTTGTCCTCGGAAACCGTCTGCAGGAGCGCAAGACGCCCTTGACCCTCCCAGCTGGTTTGTCGATGGCGAACATGGAGTCGCGGAAGGTCGGTGCCATTTCCAGAGCCAACATGCTCCTGCGCGCGGAGACGGCGGCGGAGTACAACAAGATCGTGGAGGAGTACCACGGCTCGCTTGTCGATGCCAGCCTGGAGTGGAACGAGGTCATCCCTTGGCTTAAGTCGCAAACGAAGATGAAGATTCTTGTCAAGGGCATCGTCACGGCTGAGGATGCTCAACGGGCCGTGGAGGCTGGTTGCGATGGAGTTGTCGTTTCGAACCACGGTGGTCGCCAGCTGGATGACGTCCCGGCGACACTTGAGGCATTGCCCGAGGTTGTTGATGCGGTGAGGGGCAGGATACCGGTCATTTTCGATGGAGGCATCACTCGAGGAAGCGACGTCTTCAAGGCGCTGGCTCTTGGCGCTGATCTGTGTCTGATCGGACGTACTGCTCTTTGGGGCTTGGCATGGGACGGTCAGAAGGGTGTTGAGGGAGTGCTCCACATCCTTGAGCGAGAGCTTCACAGAACCATGGCGTTGATGGGCACCGCCAGCCTGAAGGAGCTCAACAGAGGATTGCTCGGACGCTCAAAGAGAGATGGGTTTGGAATTGCGAAGCTTTAGGTGATGAGCGTTATCTTGCATTCAGCGACCTAGCGATAGACTATTTGGAGTTTTGGGACTTTTCCTCAATCATAGATGTTAGATATGGGTGCCTTGGCCCGCCATGCTTCCGAAAATAGACTTAGAGTTGTATTCCCAGTATCATCAGCACGTGTCAGACGTCCGCTTTCCAGTTGGAGATGATGTTAGTCGCATACAAACTACATGCTTAGAAGGAGCTCTTACCTAAACGTCCAAGCTGAGTTCTACTGCCCACCGAGTACTCATTTACGGAATGCCCAAGTCTCCACCTAATTACGATGCTTCGGAAGTCGAATCCGCAAGGTGTTGAAGCATGGGAACATCCATCAAAAACAAGTCGTGACCCTCATCGTCAATGAAAGCCGAGGGGCCATTGCTCATCATCAACATCTCCACCTCATCCTCGAATATAAGCGGGTCGTGGACTGCACCCTTCCTCTCAGATACATAATCTCCTTGTGTAAAGTGTCCCGTTTGAGGGTGATTGCCGTCGCCTCGAATAACATAGATCTCTGCGCTCTCAATGTGTCGATGCCGAGGAAGGACTCCTCCCTTCTCCGCGCGGACGATAACAGTGTAAGAGCCTGTTTCTGGAGAGAGCTTCACTAGCTTGATCCAGACCTTGGGCGCTAGAGGCAGCCATCTGAGATCGTTGCAGCGTATGGTGTCCCCGCCATCGTGAAGTCCAGAGTCGTCGGGTCCAGTAGGACAGTCGGTTTTGGTGACCACCGAAGTCATGGTCAAAGATGGATTTAGTGAATGCCGAAAAAGCGTTTGATGATATTATGTTGGATATATGCACTCGATGTAATGTGCGAGCGAAGTTAATATAGGTGAATCATGTCCGGATCATGTGAGATTTAAGGTATTGAAGTTGGACAACAGCGATCTCGACGGAATGAGGTTTCGGGGTCATGTTAGTAAATCAGTCGGAAGTCTGCTGCGAAGGGATGCCTCGAGACCCACTCGCGACACCATATTTTCCACGATTACCGAACTATAATTTGTAACTGCTATGATTCTTTTGATGCCTCAAATCGTATCCGTGCTCTCATCGCAAATGTTGTGGGGTTCCTCTGAAGCACGTACGCTCTTGGTGGGATTAGCTTACAGATAAACCCGTAAGTCCGGGGAGCATGATTCATTCTGGTGGATATGAAAAGTAAGAGTCATCTCTGTTTCCACTAAGCAAATGAAATTGCTGACAAAATCCAATTGAGTCCCAAGTCACTGTCCGGAAATGATGTCCGAGCCGGGCTGATTGAATGTGATTCCTCCATGTTACCCCGATTCCTTGCTGAACAGGATGTAAAACCTCGATATGAGAGAAGCTTTCATTCTCAACTTAAAGCCATAAGTTGCATGGCGAATTTGTTTCAGTATAATGCCATCTGTTTAGCTGTGTGTCGGTTTGGAGCGTCATCTTCTATGGGCTGTTGCACCAAATGAGGATTTGCATAAGATCTCAAAACCCGCCATGTATGGGATCGGCAGTGGAGATAATATTTTGACATAGCACAGCTCAACGTTCAACCCGCCTTCTTCGACGTGAGATTAAAAAGGTTGACTTTCGAACTTGATGTTACAATATCAGTCACAGCTCATACTCGTGTCCGAGAACCAATGGACTACCAAAGACCAATTGATTTCAACGGAAACCTTATGGTTTAGCGAGCAGGCTCAATTGGTAGGCATTCAGGGGCGAAATAAATGGCGAGAAGGTGGTTCTTGATGGTTCATAGTATTTTCTGTCATTATCTCTTTTTGAATTTACTGCTGTCTCTAATATAGATCGTCGACCTGATTGCTGCCATTGTCACCAGGCAGGTTGGCCCACACTATACACTCCGATAGTTTGGCGTCATCTTTTCCGACCTATGCGCATTGCAACGCCGAAAGTTCGAAGAAAGGTTTATTCCAACGTTTTTAAGGCTATCGATTGCATAACTTTGTCCCTGAGCGCCACGGAATGCGAGCTCTCAAGGGCAGGATCCCAGCGCTATCACATGCTCCCAATGGCAATGGCAGAAGCGAGAACTGACATGGCTAACAATTTTCCACTGAGCTCCCTGGCAGTCAACGAATTTTTAGGAGCATTACAGAACCGAGGGCCCAATAAGCCTTCAGGGTCAGGCCACGTCCCGTTTGGACATCCCGCGAAGTCAAGCATAGCCATCATTGTGCGGTTCGCCAGGTCTTCTTCATTCTGCTTCAGCCCGCAGGGATCCGCCTCGCGAGTGGAAGCCATCTTCATGCATCGCTCTCCTAAGGAGTTTCCAAGACCGTCAAATTCGAAGTTGGTGATGGGCACAGGGCAGGAAGACGCCATGTGGGCGAAATCGGGCAGCCGAATCGGCTCGGGGTCCAAATAAAATGTGATCTGCTCCGAGGCATAGACCGGCCTGAGAGGCGTGGAATTGTTTGGAGAGCAGGCCCAGCTCAAAAATGTGGTGTACGCCAGCAAGAAAACACGTTGCGTGCCGTTGATCATGTTGCTGTTGGGGCTCCCGAAGACCATATGAACGCCGTCTTCTGGGCGAGGACCAGGCTTGGCGAGGCTCTCCAACTTCTCTGTTCCAAAATTCCGTCCACTGTTTCGAAAGTCGGTTTCGTCCGGGTATCCGTCAATGGTCCAATGAATTACAAAGGGCGCGATCTCGTCCTTCTCCTGCCACAGCTGCGAGGCATTCCTAACCGCGAAGATGATCGGAAAAGGTCAAATGTACTTGTACGTCTCGTTGGCCACCGGGAACACCAAGTCGACCTCGACATCAGCTGGCGAAACGGCGCAAAGAACCAAGAGACGCGGCAGCAGAATCAGAGCCGAGCCGACGTATGTGGGATGAATCATGCGCATGCATAGTCGATTCGAACCCGCCTCGGCCTTGCAGGAGACCTTGATGCAAAGCTGTGAGAATTGGGGGTTAAGTGTGGCCGTGGCCAACTGACGGCTGAGAGTTGTGTAATTATACTTACCTGCGGCAAAGAAGGCCACCCACGTAACCATGGTTGCTTCGACTTGGCGGCGGGTAAATCGGTTGCGATTGAAACTCAAAGGGGAAATGTCGTCCGGTTGGAAGACAAGCGATCCCAAGACGGGCATATACATTGATACCTGGTCACGGATCTTGCATCGCACCACTTCTTGCGTATGCGATCAAAATCCCACGTTGATCTCATGCATTGAATAAGTCTGTTGGAAGTAAAAGCCCGCCCCTTGAAGGACGAGTTCTCACGAGACCCTTGGTGACGAATGTGACTGACCACCAGTTCTTGGCTGGCCCCGTTACCCCACGTTGTCTTCCTGACAGGGTCTAGTCTGGGGTACCTTATGTTTAACTCTAATTTCGCTTCTGCATTGCTCTGGCCTCCGGATGTTACTCCTCTGCAGGTGTCGAGTGTCGTGATAATTGAGGCCGAGGTGTCGGAAAAAGAGGCTACTGGCCATTTTTGTTGAATAGAGTTTTTGAACCTCGTGTCAATAACAGTGAAAATGTGATGGTTTGTCATGACGCCAAATACAAACACTGAAGTCTTACACAAAGGGGATGTTTTCAGTGCTCGTCCTTAACGAGGTTTTGATCGGACAAGACACCGCTCTCACCTTCGTCTCTCATTCATTGTCTGTAGACCGCGTATTCTTTCCACAAAATGTCCAACCGAGTTTCCATTCTCAGCATCGCTACTGGCGTCCTCGCTACTCTCGGGAGCTCAGCCAGCCTCCCCCTCCAGCGGCGAGGCGGCAGTTCAAGCCCGACCCTGATATTCGACCCCAACACCGACCCAAACTGCAGCTGGTGGTGGGATGCAGATGACGGGCTTCCATGCGAGGTTGTGATCCAATGGAGTGGACTGACAATGGCAGACTTTGACAAATGGGTGCTTCGAGCCGGCTGACCACAGCCGAAATATTCTCTGACCCAGAACGTGTATAGAACCCCTCGGTCAACAGCTGTGGAGGCTGGAAAGATGGCCACTCTTACTGCACTCAAGTGGTAATCGCCGCCCCAGAGCCTCCGCAGTCCACCAACTTCACCCCTCCGACTCCGACCACCACCACAGCGCCCACGACGACGGCGCCATCCAACGGCGTCAGCACCCTGGAGCAATTCCAGCCCGACATGACGACAAGCTGCAATAAATTCCATGAGGTCGCCTCCGGTGACCAGTGAAACGTACTGGCCACCAAGTATGGCGTTTCTCTCTTGGATTTCATGAAGTAGAATCCGGCCGTCGGCTCCACTTGCGAGTCTCTGTGGCTCGACTACTACGTTTGCGTCGGCCTTGTCGGCAGCTCCCAGTCTAACCCGCTTCCATCTCCCACGACCACCCAAGGCAACGGCATCGCCACGCCAGAGCCAACACAGCCCGGTATGGTGGGAGACTACAACCGCTTTTACAAGGTCGTCTCGGGAGACACTTGCGCCATCGTCTCCTCGAAAGCCGGCATCTCCACCACGCAGTTCAGCGCCTGGAACCCGCAGACGGGCGGCGCCGCCTGCTCGTCCCTCTGGCTCGGTTACTATGTCTGCACCGGCGTCGTCGACACCGCTCCATCCCCTCCGACCCCGACCCAGGGTGGCAACGGCGTCGCGACTCCGATCTCGATCCAGGCGGGCATGGTTGGAAACTGCAAAAAATTCCACTTCGTCAAGCCCGGCGAGACCTGTGCCGTCATCGCGGCGAACAACAAGACCTCGACCAGCGCCTTCATAAAGTGGAATCCTGCTGCTGGAGCAAGCTGCACGGGACTATGGGTTAACACGTACGCCTGCATTGGAATCTTAGGAAGTGAGTGGTTGTTTTCACGGACGGATGACAAGAACTTTCCGGCGGAAAACCAGCTCCCCACAGGAATGATTCTCAAATATTTCATGACTTTTCTTCGGTGTATTTTATGTCCAATAACAGTGGTTGCTTTCAAATTTATTTGCTTGAACGACGTGTAGTGTTTAATTCTCCCGGCAGTCAATCGGTCGGCCCCACATCTCCGCATTCCCTTGTCCGGGCCTCCTTCCGATGCGTTCCTAGGATTGAAGGGATGGGCAGCTTACTTCTCCTAGACAGTCAGATTTTGTACTATTTCTTTGCATTTTGAATCACTTCTGGCTTCAGACCGTGTTAGTTAAGGGAAGCCATGACTTTATCAAGGATGCTTCGATGCCTACCTAGGTAACCTCAGTAAAGGTGTGGATCCCATCGATAAGGGTCTCAGCGTCTCCACCTCTACGCCCTAGCGCTGACATCCAGAGTCTTTGTTTTCAACACCAGAAAAGCCGCATCACGACTGGAGCCACATTACCATTCATCACACGTCCTCAACTCAACATGTCCAACAGCTCCGAACTTCTCGTTCTTCCCCGCCCAGGTGGGGCAACTGCTACCTCGAAAGCCCCGATACAGGGTCCCTCCGAGGCGGCCTTCACGGAGACTTTCGGTGCACTCCTACCACCGGCCAAGTTCTTGAAGACTGCCACTGGTAAAGCCGCCTACTATGAGATGCCCCCTTCATCAGATGGCGAGGGCTCATCTACGCCTGAGAGAGTCCTATTCATTCACGGCGTGCAAACTCCGGCCCTTGGCATGCTTCCTCTCGCCCGCAGCCTTCATGGATCGTTCCCGCGTTCGCATTTCGTGCTGGTTGACCTCTGGGGTCACGGGCTGAGCGACACGCCTGTTGTCCCGCATGAGGCGGGCCTGTTTCACAAGCTCATTGATGATCTGCTGGATCATTTGGGTTGGCCCTCCGCACACATCGTGGGCTTCTCCTTCGGCGCCTCCCTGACGGCCGGATATACTGCCTCAAGAGCGGCACGCGTGCAGAGTTTCACTCTCGTCGCGCCGGCTGGTCTCCTTCATGCTGCCAACTTCACGGCGGAGGAACAACAATATTTGAGCAAGGATAATTCCGATGAGGCTGGTGCGCGAAAATTTGTGCTGGGATTCCTCGAAGGTGGCGAGCTGGTTGTGCCCGCAGACTGGAAGGACAGGGTGGCCAAGGGAGAAGTTGTTGCTGAGGCAGTGAGAGAGTGGCAGATGCGTGAGCATCACGGTCACACTGCTTCCGTGATTGGGATCTTCAGAGATGGCCATGTCTTGGATAACGACGCTGCGTTTGCCAAAGCAGTCGAGACAAGAATCCCGTCGCTTGCAGTCTTGGGCGGACTGGATGATTTGTGCAGCGAAAACCAGCTTACTGAGCTTGGGTTCACGAACGTTTCTGTTGTTCCCTATGTTGGACACGGCGTAGTTAGAGAAAGAGCCCCGGAAGTTGCGGGCCTTATCAGTGAATTTTGGACCAAGCTTGGCTAAGCTGCCTTTTGTTAGATAAAGTGGCTCATTTCAATACGAGCTGACTGTGAGCCTTTTTGTTGATTTCGTGTACGATATAGTCGGGTCTCTTTTGCGGAGTAGGGGACAATTCGGTCGCAGCAGTGCGCCTGACTAAACACACACACGCTGAATTTGACACAATATTTGAGTAATTGCATGCCCACGGCATTGGTTATTATCAAGTATCAAAGTCGCTTGCTATCAAACTCAAGTTGTCAGGTGTCTAGTAGGAGTACCTGAACTTCCTGTTCTCGAAGTCCGTCAAATCCATCAAAACCTCATCATCATCCTCCGCGGCATTGTGCCCACTGGCCGCGGCCTCGGCATCTCGCTTTGCATTACGGCGCTTCAACAGGATGCGTATCGCAATAGCAATAATGACCTGACCGGCAGTACACCCCATGATAACCTTGCAACCAGTGCCGTAAATAGGGGCTTCTGAAGCAAGGAAGGCCTGGGGTCCGATGATGTTTCCCACACAATATGCCAAGAAGACGAAGGCAGTGGATGTGACACGCTTCGTGTATCCTGCGACGTTGGCAGCAGGCATCTGCAGAGCGACGACGAGGGCACCGACGAATGAAGGGCTCTGTAATCACGAGTTAGCCTAAACTCTTGTATCTTAGTTCTCAGTCAACTTACAATGTAGTAGGCCATCAGTAGACCGTTCTTGTTGCCTCTGTCCAGCTTCAAGAACAAGGAAACAGCAATGAGCGTTGGCAACACCCAGGTCATCATGACAATTGTGCGGAAGTTCTTGAACTTCGACGCACAGAAAGGCCCGGTGAAAATGAAAAAAGCGACCCAAGCACCGTATGGAATACCATATGCGGTAGTCAAAAGAGCATCCTTGGTAAAGCCCTTGACGATCAATTTTCCGAAGTTGGCAATACCTCCGTTAACGATTTCGTTGAGTAGTGTGTAGAAGAACAACAACCAGATCTGGATATCCTTGAAGGCCTCCTTGATCTGCGCTGGCTTAATCTTGCTGCTGAAGACACCGGTCTTGTTGCTCTGGCTGCGAGCAATCAGCAGAGCCTTTTGCTCCACCGTGTAGCGCTTGGCGGTGAGAATGTTGTTGGGGAGAAAGAAGAACAGGACAACACCCCAGATGACGGTCATACCACCGCAAATGATGAAGATGATTCTCCAGACATCCCATCCGTCGGCCTGACCAACGCCGTAGAATAAGATGCCGCCGACCATAGAACCAATACCATTGAAGCAGTAAAATGCCCCGGCTCGCACAGGTGCCTCTTTTCGGGTGTACCACATGCTAGTGACAAGCATGAACGCTGGTGTAATGACAGCCTCAAACATGCCCAGCAGAAATCGGCAGACCGCGAGGCCGGCAAAACTGTGAGATGCGGCGGTGCATGTGAGAACAATGCCCCAGCAAGTGACGAAGACGCTGACGACGGTGCCAGTAGGGAAGTGCTGAGCGAGGTAGCTGGCCGGCCATTCTGCGAGAAGGTACGCGAAGTAGAAGATGCTGGCAAGCCATGAGTACTGGCTCTGAGATGTGTTTGTTGTCTCGAAGAGGTCGAAGACGGCGCCGTAGCTTAGTGCCTGCTTGTCGATGTATTGCAAGAAATACTGATGGATGATTAGTTGACTGTGCAAAGCAGACATCATAGAATTGAACTCACTGTTCCCATAAGCAAGGGAAGAAGGGTCAGGTCAATGTGTCGAACGAGCTTCTTCTGAGCGGCCTCATCCTCGAGCAGCTCCTTGAGCCGCGAGTGGGGGATGCCATTTTGCTGCAGGAAAACCTCGGCCTCATCGAGGAGCTCGACTTGACCAGTCTTGAGTTCCTCGCCGACACTAGCCGCGATGGATGGTGCCTTCTCCGCAATTTCAGGATCCTTGGGCTTCGGCTGCCCTTCGTTTATAGACGATTCGATGGCCATTGTGGAGTCCGGGGAAGTCTGACCAGCCTGGCGGGTCGTTCCTGACTCCTGGGGATGATGTGCTCGAGCACGCGATTGAACGAAGTGGATGCAACTCGGCCTAGTCAAAGGGAGTTGCTATTGTTGCTAGTGTTGGTTGCAAATGGCAAGACGCAGCAATATTGTTGGAGTTGTTGAGCTCTCGGACAAGGGCGAGTTGTCGACACTTTTCCGCAGCGGAAAACTGCCAGGTTGCGGTGGTCTTTTTATTCATTGTCATTACAAGGGGCAAATGATACCCGGCCGTGGCTCTGATAGCGCCTACGACTCGCTGACCAACTCGATAAGATACATGCCGATAGGCGCTGACTACTGAAGACTTCGGTCCCAGATGGCATAGGCTGCAGATAACATGTCAGGCGATAACTCCCAGCCAAGCCAGCGCTCTATCCCAGTAACAGGATCCATAAGTTGATAAGGAACCGAGGACTGCAAGACGTTTCCCCGCGTCGGGATGGGGCCTACGTGCCGCTGGGTTCATTAACGTGGAGAGCGGGTGGAGTTACCGTGGGCACTGTGCGGCATCGGTAAACCGAATGGCCCCGGAGTCCAGATTTGACCGCCGAAGTGCTGAATCTGTTGCTGGAAACGACAAAGTGGAGTCTTCTCGGTGAACCTCCGCCTTATCAGCTTGCGCGTTGACTAACAGAGATATGAACACTAGCGTCTTTGATCGGGATTAAGCCATGATAATGGTTGTGGAGCTTTCCGCGGGGAAATATCAACAACGCAACTCCCACCCAACCTTTGCCCGAGTCATCAGCCGATATCCGGACTCCGCAACCACAGAACAGAGCTCAGACACGGACAACTCAGACACTGAAGGGCAGAATGTCTACAGCATCAGGAGACCAACCGACGCCCCGGCCGTACCGGTCCCATCTGCGCCCAGCATGCTTGCAGTGCCGGCGCCGCAAGTCACGATGCCAGCAGCAGGAGGGGATTAGCTCTTCAACGTGTCAAATGTGCCATGTCTACGGCACTGACTGCGAATTTCCGCCGTCACCTCGAAGCGCTGGGCGCGCGCCGTTGAACCCCGGGAAAGTCCAGAAATCGTACCGGACCCCCCAGTCCAACACGCCATGTCGAAGGGAACCTCTCGCTGTCGCAGCAGCTAAGGCACCCCAGAGCAGCATACATGTGAGGACCACCTCTACGTCTCCACCAACGAGCACGACATCAGCACCGGGTCCCAAAGCTGTGCTGAGTCCGCATAATCCGCACTTGATGCTGGCTTTGGACAGTCCCGAAGATGAAGACAACTCGCACATCATTGGTCCGGCCGTTACAAACGACACACAGGTGCTCGCAGATTACCTGAGCTCGGAACCCAGCATTCATGAAAGGATGATTAGGGTAGTCAAGCCAAGGCCGGGATCGCAAGTGGGACAAACGCCGCGTTCATCAAGGGACTTGTCCGGTGGGATTCGGAAGCCTGTTATCTTCACGGCTGTCCGGAAGCGGCCTTTCGGTCTCTCGCCCCGGCAAACGGCGCCGTTACAGAAGTATCAGATTGTGGAGAAGATGCTAGAGCCATGGACATCGACACTCATCGATCTGTAAGTTGAAGACGTTTCTTTTTTCGCATGTCAGGAGAGCAACCCCTGTTGATATGGGGGGCTGAACGATGGATGCTCGTCCCCACATCAGAGGACTCTTGGCAAAAC